GCTTGTTTCGGCCGGACAATTGGCGCAACTTTGTCATGTTTGTGCGGCACATGCGAGAAGGCCGGACATTTGCTCCTTGGGACGAGCGACACAGACACTCACATGCACAACTGCACGCCACAGGATCTCTCACACAAGCAGCAGCCGCTCTGATGCTACAATAGGTGCTGCTGATGGTGTTGAAGGTGACCAGCCAGCACTGTTGTTCCCCTCATAGTGCATTTTGGACACTGGCACATCAGCTTTTCCGTGTTCCCATCCCAAAAGACATCCATTCCACTAACCATTTTCCAAGGACTTGCCTCCACCAATACATCCACAGTGCCTGGTCTCATAAATGCGCCAGCAGTCTTCCACCTGCCCTTCAGCAGCTTGCCATGACCCGCGTGTGAGCAGATGTAGATGGGGTTAACCGCCACCATTTTGGATGCTCTTCCTTTTTGAGGAAAGTACTCTAGGACATTGGGTTAGGTTGCATACTGTTTCAATGCTGAGTGTATAAGAGTGGTACTTCGTTTGTGCCCCTGCCAATGTATTAGTGACCATCACGTTGTCCGTATAAAATACTGTGGAACTAAATGAGCACAACCTTGTGAATCTGGAAACCAATCAATATCTGAGAAGTCTAAAATCACATACAAAATCGTGGAGGTGTCCGTAGGAAGCGCGACGGATATCGGGGATCTCTCAATTGAGGGAGTAACGGTTACGTAATGATCTGACAACCTTCAATGATGATGGGTTTCCCCCTTCACTCATCAATGACTGACGTCTGGAAAGCAGATCAAGCGTGCACTATTTTTTCCGTTTCCCTCGCGGAAACCGATCACGGGAAGAAGTACCGCCAAATTACGGACCTGAGTTGATTCTGTGGCTTCTGGAAGCTGAGGTTGATACCTCGGCTTCGTTGCTGTTCTCGCGGGTCGCTAGAGCTTGCTAGGCACAGGATTGAAGCCATGGTTGGCGCGTGTAAAGAAATGGCGGTGTATTGTTTCGACAATCTGCTATCCCACTACAACGGTGACGATCCTCCTCCTCCCGCCTTCGAGGGTGGCCAATAGTAAGCAGCGCGAAATTTGTTTGCCGCTAGTTTGAGTACTATCGGCAAAGAAAAACGTTCCATTCTGATCGGTTTTCTGGGCTGTGTGAGTGTGCAGCCCACTATTTGTTACCTGGAAGAAAGTCTCGGATACTGGTGAGGCTCGGCTGCGAGGTTGCATCGGAACGCTCGAAGCTCGCTGTGTACTAACTGGATTTAAGGACTACGCGCTTACAAGGTATGATTTCGCGAAACACCCACGTGTTTCCAACCCTTGAACGCCTCATTTCCTTTCCATCCATATCACACGGTGCAAATCTTCATGTTCTCGAAATTGTTCATGCAGTGCGTTAAGGGACCGCCGGTTTTCTCCCATACAGCCTCGCGAGATTGCTAATCTCCAAGTGACTGTTTCAGTTCTGACCAACTATGAGGTTGCGGTTGATCATCTTGATTGGGATGTAAGCTTCTCTGCTCTGGGGCTCGTTGTTCAGGGAGAGCTATATGCCATCGTAATCTCCCTGTCTTCAAAATACAACAGATTCTCACACAAATTTACACGTGTATGGTATGGTTGCATCAACTTGCAGGTTGGCACACACGGAATGATTCTCGAATTTTTTGATCATCAAAACACAAAGAGAAGTGCCACTTATTTGCCAGAAGTCGCCCTTCATGAAGGTGAGTTCCTTTGCTGCTCTTCTCCTACCCCCTCCCCCCCTTTGTTCGTCCTTTCCGTATTCTTTGTCCCCATTCCCTCCTACTCTCTTCGTCCCGTTTTCACCCTTTTCCCCCCTCTTTCCTTCTCTGACCATCCCTCTTTTCTCTCCCATCTTTCCCCTCACGGTTCTTCTCAGTTGTTTGCCTTCATATGTGCCGGGTTTTCTTATTAATTTCAACATGTTGAGCCCCTATTTATCTGCAGGTTGGACTAAGATTGAGGCCGTGGATTCTTTGATTAGAAAAGCTGGTTATAGCGGACCAATCACTGATGCACTCAGAAGAAAGCTTCGTGTGACTCGTTACCAGTCTTCCATCTTCACTCTCCACTATGAGGAGTATGTGGATTATGTCCAGAGGACAAGAGGCTACACTCCAAAAGTCTCAAGGTGGTAACAATTTGAGCTTATCTTCTCAGCGCCCTTCTGTACATAATTTCTTCAGGCTGGCTGCGGAAACTGCACGCTGGCCATGCCTCATTCCTGCCTATTGTCTGGCCAGGTCATGTGTGGGTAGTGAAGGAGCTTTACTAACTCTTTGGAAGCTGCTTGGCTTCAGTACTTCCACATGATGAAGGGTGAAGGCGTTCGTAGAGGCTAGGATCTTTACCTTCAGTGTACCCTTCTCTTGTGGTTCAACCTTCAATATTCATCCACATTGCCCCTCATGCCCCTGCTTTCAGCCCTGAAAATTCTGAAGTGAAGCTAGAGAAATCCAGCCATTGTGGTCTGCTAGCATTGTTACACAAATGTGCAATGCTGCTAGAACAATACCCCCATGCGAGGCACAATCATGAGCATTTTCATGAGAACAAGATTTAGAAACACGCACGGGAAAGGAGCGGGATTTCATGTTTGAGAGGCCGCTGTACGGCCACGACGAAGGAAGCTAAACCCGAGAAAGCCACGTTGTTGGGCTGAATCACGATCAGGCAGAAGAACTGTTTCTTCCCCACCCTCAGTGGCATATTCCATGCTTTGCTCCTCCTCCACATAACTTTCAGTGCCTGACTGTCCTTGGTCAACATCAGCAACCTCTTGTGGTGCATCTAAATGTCTTGAGGTGTGCATGACATGTGTGCCAACCAGAGTGCTATCAGGAGCACCAGTCATCTGCAAGCAAGGGAAACGAGAAATAGCGAGCAGCTCCGTGGAGGCGATTGGGGGTTTTGGGGCTAGAGTCAAGACGATAATATGCTGCCAATTTGATTGTGAAATCAACTCACCATCTGCTGCCACTGCTGCTGCTGCCTCGCCTGCTGCCGTTGCTGCTGAGCTGCAGCCACTGCTGCTGCTTGGGCCGAAACAGCAGTCAGGTAAGCGATTGTTTCATCCACAAACCCCTGCATGTATGCCGATACAACAGTTTGCAACTGGCTCACTACATCACTCACACGCCCCTTGATTTCATCCACCTGTTTGTCAATGTCTTCCTCGTTCTGTAACAGCACTGGCTGCAGCAGGTTGTTGTAAACGTGGTCTGTGCCTTTGTTGTCAGGGTACCAGAGGTAAATGACCAGAAGCAGCTTCGCCTCAGGATACATAGGCAGCCTGTCCAGTACACAGAATATGTTTAGAGGGGTAAAAAGGAATGGATACAATTAAAGCGGCACATTTTTGTCTCATTGGCCAAAAAAAAAAAAAAAAAAAAAAAAAACCCATGGTTGCCCTCCGTATGTGGAAAAAAAAAACCCCATAAGCTTGGAAAGTGGAAAGGTTCTCACAAGATGTGAATGAGTGGGTTGGGGCAACTGGCAATGTCTGACCAAGATGGCTTTCCTGCACAAATGCTTACCGTTCCAGTATGGGGTCAGCCAAGCGCTCTGTGACTGTAACGAGGGCAATGAGTACCCTGAAAGAAGCGGGCGAGAAGCATATGCGGGGAAGTAATGGCCAAGGCAGAATGAAAAGCATTACATGGTTGCATAATAAAAGGTACGAATCACTGGTGTTTCCTGGTTATGCAGGTGGAGCAGATGATAAGCATGGACAGGAATGGAAGGGACTCGCATCAGAACTGAGGTGTGTTCTGAGTTGACACTCATTGGTGTTTCCTACAATGGCAGGTGGAGCTGATGACGAACAGGAAGACGAATGCAAGGGACTCGCACCAGAACTGACAGAAGCATAGCAGCTCCTTGACAAGCTGGTCATTGAGACTTTTCAAAAGGACAGGGGGGATGAGAAGGACTCGCACCAAAACTGGCAGAACCATAGCAGCTCCTTCACATCAAGCCGCAGCTTCCTGATGGCTTTGAAGCAGAGATAGCCACGTGATAAAAGAGGGCTTTTGAGACGTCTCAAAAACACTCTTTTATAACAGGGATAGAAGAAACTCGCACCAGAATTGGCAGAACCATAGCAGTTCCTTGACGTCCGGCCGTCGCTTCCTGATGGCTTTGAAGCAGAGGTACGCTGGATAGAGATACCCGAAGATCAGCCTGCTTTGGATCGGGCATGAAGGGAACGGAGAGAGGACGGTGAGAGGGCGGTGAGAAGAATGTGGCGTTCAGATTAGACATGAGGTCAACTAGGAGTCGAATGTGCCTTATCCGTGATCCGTGATCAGTCAGTGACATGAGGTCAAGCAATTTGGTTCATCACCACGCGACCACGACAGGGATCGGTTGCGAAGCCTTTTGCGAAGCCTATTGCGAAGCCTATTGCGAAGCCTATTGCGAAGCCTATTGCGAAGAACGGATTCCAGCACGTACGTCAAGAACTGCAGCAAGGCCGGTGGAAGCATGTGGGACGCTCCGCAACGATCTGTTAAGCCTTCTGCGAAGTACGGATTTTAAGCTCCAACGCGTTCGTGACAGCCCGTGCTAGAGTGCAAGGCTTTACGGCTCTACAACAGCCCGTGCTAGAGTGCAAGGCTTTACGGCTCTACAACAGCCCGTAATATGTGACGTGATGACGTGTGCTAGAAAGAGCAAACGAGGCTGCGGCGCGGAACACGAGCCGTAGAAGAAGCACTTGCAGCAAAAAGCGTGGCAAGGAAGGTTGACAAAGAAAACGGATGATTCTTTAAACTGGAAAGCTTTGCATTCACTAACAGGTTTCGCACACAAAGGAGAGACACGGAAAAACCGCCGCCCGTGGGGCTCGAACCCACGACCACAAGGTTAAGAGCCTTGCGCTCTACCAACTGAGCTAGGGCGGCTGTTTCGTAGAATGCTATTAAAAAATCAATGTTTTAATCTGTTTAGTTCCAGCATTCTTGCTTCTGCTTTGTTTATCAAATGGCTTTATCAACCACATGGGCATGGCCTCAGTGCAAATGTGTCCCTCGTCTTGCCCCACCCGTTACAGTCACGGTGTTTCCCCGCAATGCCAATGACAGGCGTCGAATCAGGGCGACTGCGAGTAGCGCGGGGAAGAGCGGAAAGGGAAGCGCAGGGGGACGCGGAGGGGGAAGAGAGAGGAAAGGGGGGGATGCGGAGTGGGTGACAGGGGGTTCGTGGTTTGAATTTGATACCGATTCCCTCGCCGTGACGTCAGCTCCGCCCGACGATGACGTCAACCTGACTGGCGATGCCCCGGACGCGTCTCGGCCGTCGGATCCGGAACTCAGCGCCAGTCCCTCTGCGGGGGAGGCGCGGGGCTCTGGGCGGCAAGATCTGTCGGATGCGGGAGGCTCAGCGACAACGTCGGCGGCTGGAGGGCGGCTGGGCGGCAGGCTGGGCGGACAGCGCGGCGGCAGGACCGGCGGGGACCGCGGCGCACGGGGCGGGGGGAGGAGCGGGAGCTTGAAAGACGCGGAGCTGGCGGAGATAATGGCGGCGGTCAGGCGCGCGGACGCGGGGGGAGGAGAGGGGGAGGGGGGGGAAGTGTGGGGGGGAGATTTGGGGGCGAATGGCGGAAGAGATGGGGGGGTGGGGGACGTGGAGCGAGTGAGAGAGGTGCATTTTAGTGGATGCATAAATGAGTCTTATGCTATAAGCTACAGGCGGGGGGGAACGGAAGAGGAGAGGGGGGATGGTGGAGAGAGGGGTGGGAAAGGGGGAGACGGAAACCTGAGGACCATCTTTGTTAAAGTGAACAGGTGAGAGGAGGGGGGGAGGAGGGGGGAAGGTGGAGCGCGTGAGAGAGGTGCATTTCAGCAGGTGCGTGCATTGATGAGTTGTACACTATAAGCTACGTGAAGTGAGGGTGTTTTTGAGACGTCTCAAAAACACCCTCATTTCAGCAGGTGCATTGATGAGTTGTACGCTTTAAGCTACAGGCGGGGGAGAATGGGAGGGGAGAGGGGGGACGGTGGAGAGAGGGATGAGAAAAGGGGGAGACGGGTGCCTGAGGACAGTCTTTGAAAAAGTGAACAGGTGAGAGGAGGGGGGGAGGGGGGGATGGTGTGTGTGGGGCGTGGGAGGCTTGGGGAGAAGCGAGATACGGGAAGGTGGAGAGAGGGGTGGGGGAGGGGGAGATGGGGGGCTGAGGAAGGTCTTCGTTAAAGTGAACAGGCGAGAGGAGGGGGGGAGGAGGGGGAGAGGTTGGGGCAGTCCCCTTTTCTCTGCATATGAGGAGGCAAGTATGCCCAACCCACGTGACACGTTCTCCCATGTTCCAGCATAGTTGAAATGTTCTCCCATGTTCCAGCATAGTTGAAATGTTCTCCCATGTTCCAGCATAGTTGAAATGTTCTCCCATGTTCCAGCATAGTTGAAATGTTCTCCCATGTTCCAGCATAGTTGAAATGTTCTCCCATGTTCCAGCATAGTTGAAATGTTCTCCCATGTTCCAGCATAGTTGAAATGTTCTCCCATGTTCCAGCATAGTTGAAATGTTCTCCCATGTTCCAGCATAGTTGAAATGTTCTCCCATGTTCCAGCATAGTTGAAATGTTCTCCCATGTTCCAGCATAGTTGAAATGTTCTCCCATGTTCCAGCATAGTTGAAATGTTCTCCCATGTTCCAGCATAGTTGAAATGTTCTCCCATGTTCCAGCATAGTTGAAATGTTCTCCCATGTTCCAGCATAGTTGAAATGTTCTCCCATGTTCCAGCATAGTTGAAATGTTCTCCCATGTTCCAGCATAGTTGAAATGTTCTCCCATGTTCCAGCATCATCCCTCTGTTCCCTCCGTCAGTCCCCCCCATGCATTCGCCCATGTCTTTCTCTAACCCTCTCTCCCGTAAACCCTCTCTCCATGCCCAAACCGTGTACATCCATCCACCCCTCGTGCATTCGCCCGCACAGGAGCTTCAGAGCGAGCGAGGTGTTTGAAGGGGAGGCTCGGATGTGCGTGCCGTGCCATGCCGTGCCGTGCCATGCCATGCCGTGCCGTGCCCCTCCCCATGCGCCTTGTCCTTCCATCTCCCCCCCCCCCCCCCATGCACCCGCCCCATATGCATGCATTCGCCCGCACAGGAGCTTCAGAGCGAGCGAAATGTTCGAAGGGGAAGCACAGATGTGAGTGCCGCGCCCCATGTGAGTGCAGGAGCTCACGCATGTGAGTGCAGGAGCTCACGCATGTGAGTGCAGGAGCTCACGCATGTGAGTGCAGGAGCTCACGCATGTGAGTGCAGGAGCTCACGCATGTGAGTGCAGGAGCTCACGCATGTGAGTGCAGGAGCTCACGCATGTGAGTGCAGGAGCTCACGCATGTGAGTGCCGCGCCTTTCTGAGACGCCTCAGAGAGATTGTACCTCTATCGCCCCATGCCCCTTCCCATGATTTTCAAGGCGCCTAAAAAACCAGCCCAAATGTGAGTGCCTTGCCCGTCTGAAACGCCTCAGGAGATGCACCTCTATTGCCCCATGTCCCTTCCCTTGATTTCTGAGACGCCTCGGGAATCGGCGCAATGTGAGTGCCACCTTTCCTTTTGAGGCGCCCCAGGAGATGCACCTCTATTGCCCCATGTCCCTTCCCATGCCCTCCCACTCCTCATTCATTGTCCTTCCTGTGCCCATTCGCGTGCTTTTCGAACCATGCACGTGAGATGTAGACATTTCTCAGTGAGCTGCGTGCGTGTAGTAAAAACAATTCGCGTGCTTATAGATCCATGCACGTACCAATGCTCCCCATTACACCCCTCTCCTCTTCACTCCTCTCCTTCCTCCATACCCTCTCCCTTCCCATGCCCCTTCCCATCCCCCTTCCCATGCCCCTTCCCATGCCCCTTCCCATGCCCCTTCCCATGCCCCTTCCCATGCCCCTTCCCATGCCCCTTCCCATGCCCCTTCCCATGCCCCTTCCCATGCCCCTTCCCATGCCCCTTCCCATGCCCCTTCCCATGCCTCTAAGTACCCCTCCCTACCTACGCCTCTTGGGTCGGCTCAAAAGTCTCCATCTACCCCTCCCCGCGCCTCGTTCGTTTCCATATCCCAGTCATTCACCCCCCTCCTCCTCACCCCTCTCCTTCCTCCATACCCTCCTACGTTCCATGCCCCTCACTCTCACCATGTCTCCATGTACCCCTCCCCACGCCTCGTTCATTTCCATATCCCAGTCATTCACAGCTTCTTCGTTTCCCCTCCCCCTCCACTTCCCCCTCCCCGTCCCCCTCCCCTGCCAGCCTGTCAGCAATTGCAGCAACGGAAACCGTGCGAGTGCCTCGTCCAATCGCAACAGGGGACTTTCGAACCCCCTCCTCCTCCTCTTCTCCCCCCTCGTCTGCCACTACTCCCAACAACGAGTCGCATCGGGGATCGTTCATAATCATGGAGCATTTACAGCTGCGCCCATTCGCCATGGTGCGACCCTAAATCTCGTTATAGTGTGACTCAGCTCTAGGCAACGGATCCCATGGATAGAGGGAGGGTCATTCATAATCATGGAGCATTTGCAGCTGCGAACATTCGCCATGGTGCGACCTAAATTCCAAAACCCAGTGTAGAATGATCACTCAATAATACGCCAGAAAGTATCTTTTAGCGAAGCCTGATTGCTTTGCTACCTCGTCTCCTCATATCACCCCACCCTTCTTGTTCCATTTCAGATGGATCCAGCCAATCAGGAGCAGCTGGGCCGGTCGTTGGCACAGCTGCACCTCGTGTCATCTTCCATGCCTGGGGTCCAGTTCGGTTTCAACTCGCCCACACGGTACGGATACATGAAACCGTGCCTTTTATCCAACGCTCCCATGCGATGCAGCTTTGTGCGTGCCACGGTGGAAAAAAAAAAAACACAAAAAAACAAAAAACAAAAAACAAAAAACAAAAAACAACTGTGTTGTTCATATATCTATGTACGTATATGTCGTTCGTTTTTTCCCCCCTCTCCCAGCCTCGGCGTAATGCCTCTAGTCAACGTCCCCCTCTCTTCCTCCTGGCCTGACTTCTTCCTCACCCACCGGTTACAAGACCGCCTCGACGTACGTCCCATGTACATGCTTAGTTAAAAGTTCCTTCAGATCCACTGCTGCAATATTCACTGCTGTGTCGCCTCTCTTCCGATAGGCACCAGGGCTCATTGAATGTTTCTTGTTTGCCTGACTCTATATATATTTTTTAAATTTTGTTCAAATCTCTTAGTGCAAAATTCACTGACATTGCATGTGCACCACTTATCTATCTACAGTACTTACTTCCCTACTTACTTACCCAGCACTTATCCACGATTATCACTGTGCTGGTGTCACTGGCTATGCACTTATCCACGTTCATCCTATCATTTATTCACCAGCGAGTTCTGGATAGGTTTGGTGACGAGGCTTGGGAGCTTCGGGACATTGTGCCAAGCCTGATTGAGGCGGCCAAGCGGATTCTGACAACCGAAGCTATGGCGGAGGTTCGGCCGAGCCTGCTTCATGGAGACCTCTGGGTAATACCCTACCCATATGAGTTGAATATTTTAGTGTGTGAAAATGCCTTGAATGACCTTCTCACATCTGTTCCTCATTTATCACACTGTTTTTAGAACTGCTTATACTGCAGGGTGCACCAAAGCAAAATCACGTGGCTTTTGAGGATTTCCTGTGTTTTCCAGCAGCTCGTATCATCAGTTAAACAGTACCCACATGCCGGCCGGCAGTGTCCCCGCGTTTGCGTTTCTTTGTCCCCACCTCCCCTTTCCTATCCGTCCTGCTGGATTCTTATCTCGAGACGGATCAAGACAGCATTCTTCTGATCCAACTCACAGTCTATGTACCTCCCTGCCCTTTTGAGTCGACTCAAAAGTCAACTCACAGTCTATGTACCTCCCTGCCCTTTTGAGTCAACTCAAAAGTCAACTCACAGTCTATGTACCTCCCTGCCCTTTTGAGTCGACTCAAAAGTCAACTCACAGTCTATGTACCTCCCTGCCCTTTTGAGTCGACTCAAAAGTCAACTCACAGTCTATGTACCTCCCTGCCCTTTTGAGTCGACTCAAAAGTCAACTCACAGTCTATGTACCTCCCTGCCCTTTTGAGTCGACTCAAAAGTCAACTCACAGTCTATGTACCTCCCTGCCCTTTTGAGTCGACTCAAAAGTCAACTCACAGTCTATGTACCTCCCTGCCCTTTTGAGTCGACTCAAAAGTCAACTCACAGTCTATGTACCTCCCTGCCCTTTTGAGTCGACTCAAAAGTCAACTCACAGTCTATGTACCTCCCTGCCCTTTTGAGTCGACTCAAAAGTCAACTCACAGTCTATGTACCTCCCTGCCCTTTTGAGTCGACTCAAAAGTCAACTCACAGTCTATGTACCTCCCTGCCCTTTTGAGTCAACTCAAAAGTCAACTCACAGTCTATGTACCTCCCTGCCCTTTTGAGTCGACTCAAAAGTCAACTCACAGTCTATGTACCTCCCTGCCCTTTTGAGTCGACTCAAAAGTCAACTCACAGTCTATGTACCTCCCTGCCCTTCCTCTCCCCAATCCGTCCTCAGGTGGGCAAGGCGGGTGTGCTTCGATCGGGCGAGGCGGTAATGTTTGACCCGGCAGGATACTTTGAGTCGACTCAGAGTCTTATGTACCTGCCCTCCTTACCCTCCCTTGCCTGTCTGCGCTGGGCCTCCCCAATCCGTCCCCAGGTGGGCAACGCGGGTGTGCTTCGGCCGGGCGAGGCGGTGACGTTTGACCCGGCAGGATACTATGGGCATTCTGAGTTTGGTACGGTAACATGCATCTAAGAATTCCGTGCGGTAACATGCATGTAACATACGGAACACCTTTTGAGGCACCTCATTTATCGGGCGAGGCTGTGATGTTTGAACCGGCAGGATTCTATGGGCATTCTGAGTTTGGTGCGTGGTCACTTTTTACTTTCAATCCAGTAGTTTGTTTTATTTAATTTCGGGTTCAGGGTTTAGGCACTACGCTCGGTGCTGTTTTTTAACCCGCTCATAGTGTGTGCGCTGTACCATATCAGCTGCTGCTGTGGCACTCTGCAGACTCACCATGGTATTTAGCAAGCTTCTTTAATTTGAGGTGACTTTTGAGTCGACTCAAAAGTCACCTTGTGGCACTCTGCAGATTCACCATGGTATTTAGCAAGCTTCTCTTATTTGAGTGTGATACACTTCTCGTGTTTCTTCCTTATGCCACCAACACACCTCAGACCTGGCGTTCAGAGGCTGGAAGCCGGCTCCTGGCTTCCCTGGCTTCAGTGAGTCTCTTCCTTCTCCCCTCTCTTCCTTCTCCCCTCTCTTCCTTCTCCCCTCTCTTCCTTCTCCCCTCTCTTCCTTCTCCCCTCTCTTCCTTCTCCCCTCTCTTCCTTCTCCCCTCTCTTCCTTCTCCCCTCTCTTCCTTCTCCCCTCTCTTCCTTCTCCCCCCTCTTCCTTCTCCCCTCTCTTCCTTCTCCCCTCTCTTCCTTCTCCCCTCTCTTCCTTCTCCCCTCTCTTCCTTCTCCCCTCTCTTCCTTCTCCCCTCTCTTCCTTCTCCCCTCTCTTCCTTCTCCCCTCTCTTCCTTCTCCCCTCTCTTCCTTCTCCCCTCTCTTCCTTCTCCTTTCTCTTCCTTCTCCCCTCTCTTCCTTCTCCCCTCTCTTCCTTCTCCCCTCTCTTCCTTCTCCCCTCTTTTCCTCCTCACGTTCCACTTATGTACTGTTCCAATCACTTGTGAGAATTCTCACAAGTCATTTTTCCTCATCCCTCCTCACATTCCACCTATGTACTGTTCCACAGGATTAGATGCACCCAAACCTTTGAACCGTCTTGCACCTCTTCGGCTACCTAACGGTGTCGCCCTGTTGTCACCTCTCTGTTTGTCACCTGCTCCCACATGCAGCCGACGTTTGCCACTGTTTCCCTCCCTCGCAAAGCCCTGTGTCCTTTCTCCCTCCCTTCACTTCCTGGCTCTCAACAAGACTCAGCCGCATTGCCCTCCCGCCCCGCATGCAGCTGATGCTTTCTACAGCGCGTATCACGAAGTGATCCCCAAGGCGGCAGGCTTCGAGGAGCGGCAGTGCGTGTACCAGCTGTTTCATCTTCTAAACCACGTGCTCATATGTGAGTAGTGCTCTTTCCTGACTGTGTGGATAGATTTTGTATATGCATCTGGCACTTGCCCAAGGCTCGTGAGGGTTTGAGGAGCAGCAATTCTGGACAATTCCGCAGGAAGCCACGTCAAGCGAGGTTGTTTTTGAGAATTCTCAAAAACACCCTACAGCTCGTGAGGGTTTGAGGAGCAGCAATTCTGGACAATTCCACAGGGCTCAAGCAAGAAGGGGGAATGCATGTTTCTCAAGCATCTCCTCTATATAAGAATTACCAATCAATTATGCACCTGCTCCCTTGTTCATCCATTCTTCCCCTCCTCCCTCATTGCCCTGGGCAGATGGTCGAGAGTACTTCCCTCATGCCATGCAGATGGCAACTTGCATTGTTCAAGGAGGGGCAATGCTTGTTTCTCAAACATCTTCTGTTCCTTCCTCCATCTATTCTTCCCCTCCTCCCTCATTGCCCTGGGCAGATGGTCGAGAGTACTTCCCTCATGCCATGCAGATGGCAACTTGCGTTGTTCAAGGAGGGGCAATGCTTGTTTCTCAAACATCTTCTGTTCCTTCCTCCATCTATTCTTCCCCTCCTCCCTCATTGCCCTGGGCAGATGGTCGAGAGTACTTCCCTCATGCCATGCAGATGGCAACTCGCGTTGTTCAAGGAGGGGCAATGCTTGTTTCTCAAACATCTTCTGTTCCTTCCTCCATCTATTCTTCCCCTCCTCCCTCATTGCCCTGGGCAGATGGTCGAGAGTACTTCCCTCATGCCATGCAGATGGCAACTTGCATTGTTCAAGGAGGGGCAATGCTTGTTTCTCAAACATCTTCTGTTCCTTCCTCCATCTATTCTTCCCCTCCTCCCTCATTGCCCTGGGCAGATGGTCGAGAGTACTTCCCTCATGCCATGCAGATGGCAACTCGCGTTGTTCAAGGAGGGGCAATGCTTGTTTCTCAAACATCTTCTGTTCCTTCCTCCATCTATTCTTCCCCTCCTCCCTCATTGCCCTGGGCAGATGGTCGAGAGTACTTCCCTCATGCCATGCAGATGGCAACTCGCGTTGTTCACCTATCAAAACAGCTCTCTGTGTAATGCTACCACCACACCTTCACGGCATGCTGTCATGCGTAGGTGGTACAGAGTACAGTACTCCGTTCTTACTACTATTTCACCTGTTTGACCACTTTAGTTGATATGTTTGCAATATAAGCACAAAATATGAAAACACTAAATCTGATACTGAACAGAACTAGCAGAGCAAGGCACAGGGTGAGGCAGTAGCACGTGCTACAGTTCTACAGCATATCGCCACCTTATTGAGATCAGTGTAAATTAGATTGACTCAGTGTACTATCCTACCCTGTATATGCAACAGGCCCTCAGATATCAGCGTAAAACACGCTGATTACGCTGATTTTGTAGCTCAGATTTTTGTTTTCCCTGAAAATTCAGCATATGCTTCAAATTTGCACTGAAATTTCAGTATAACATACCTTGCCACACTGACCATTTTCCGTGTTGA